GGGGCTCCAAAATGCTCCTAGCTGCCTGGGAAAGCCATGCATCCCAGCTCAACCCCTGTGCTGTCACCCCAGGATGCCAGCACTGCCTGGCTGTCGGACATGCAGGGTGAAAGCAGCTGCAGCTCCACAACTACTTATTTCAGCCCTGCCACCTCCCTATTTCCTTTTTTTTCTGCCCAGCAATGACATAAATATCCCCTCTGGTTTCCTGTGCAGAACCGAAACAGGAACATGGCCAGGAGGCAGAGCTACTTTTAGTCGTCCCTCCCCGGGCATAGCCCTGGCATGGTCCCAGAGCTCCCAGCAGCCCCGTGGCTTGGGAAGAGCCGCAGCATGGGGACAGGAAGGACGGCAGTGTGACACCGGCTACTCGGGGACAAAAGGATGGTCACCAGGCTGGAGGCTGGATGGAGACTACATGCTCACAGGGACAGTGCCTGTGGGCAGGAGCCAGCATGCACCAGCTAGGGCAATGGGAAGCTGGAAAGTCCTGCTTAAACTAGCGGAGACCAAAGGCATCAGGAGCCAGTGCTTCCCGCATCCAAAAATTGAGTTGTCCAAGCATCCTGAGTTATTTGGGTCAGCTTTTGAGTTGTAACAAGGCAAAAACAAACTGTCCAAGGAGCCCTCCAGACATGCTGACAAGGGCTCTGTAAAACAGGAGGTCCCAGCAGCCTCCTCTGCTCGCTTATCAGCTTGTCAGAGCAGCCAAGAGGGAAAGCAGAACAGTCAAGAGGGAAAGCAGAACAGTCAAGAGGGAAAGCAGAACAGCCCGGGGCTCAGCCAGAGCCTGGGAACCACCAGCAAAGAGCACAACCCCAACCCCGGCCTTCCTGCAGGGAGAGGGCTCCGTGTTGTGCCCCTTCCCGTGCCACTCAGGAAGCAGATGCCCGGCTGGCATTGCTCTGCTCAGCACTTGTTTTCCTCTCCTGCTAAGGAGAAAAAAAGGCTTGAGACTCCCAAATATTTTGCAGGACCTCCAAGTGGGTTGCCCAAAGCTGCGGCAGCACTTTCTGCTGTGCTCGACCTATTTGTTTGTATCCTGCAAAGCTATATTTAGAGCTCGCCTCAATGACCCAGAGTATCTCCCAGCCAAAGAGGCAAAAGTCCTGATCTCTGAGGATGGAGGGGATTAACCCACTGGGTCCCCACAAGCTGCATGGGGACCATGTCCCCTGCACCTCTGGGGGGGCTATGGGGCAGGAGCAGCCCTGGGCTGTATCGCTCCCTCTCTCCATCACAAAAAGCCTGTCCAAAACTCACTGTGGGGACCAAAGCCCCACCATCCGGGGGGAGTCAAGATGCCGGACCCATGCCACCCCAGAGGAAGAAGCATCCCTGACTCACCGATGATGGCATGGACTCGGACAGAGAGCTGCGTGCGCAGGATCAGAGTTGGCCGTCTCCCCTTCCTAGGGTGGGGGGAAACACCGCATGAGCACTTGCAGCAGGACCACTGCAGCCCGCAGCCCCCCGCCCATGGCCCCCAGTGCTCACACACACGTGGGGTGCCCATGTCCCATCCACAGAGGGCTCGGGCACCCCACATGCCTCACCTGACCTCCTCATAGAAACCCTCCAGATCATCCTTCTGCTCCAGCAGGGACAAGTCAAGGTCCAGGTAGTGTCCGGAGGGTGAGACTTGGAGCGTGCAGTCCTCCAGCTGGGGATGCAGACAGCCCAGCTGAGCCCCTGTGCCCACTACGGTCCTCCCATCTCCCAGAGGATGCAGCATCCCCGAGTCACCCCTCCTGCCTGCACTGAACCCAGCAGGCAGCCACATCCTGGAGCAGGGTGCCCGAGCGCTGGTCCTGTGGAGAGATGCCACAGCACCCTCCACGCCAGCCCAGTGGCAGACTGGAGAGAAACATGGAGCCCCAGGCTGGGAAAAGGCAGAACGAGGGCGGCCCTGCTGCCGCCGGGCTCCTTGGCAATCCTTTGGGCAGAAGCCAAGGCAAGAGACTGATCCGCTCCCTCGGGCTCCCCTTAGTCAGCCAGGGTGCGACCAGGGCAGGATCCGTCTCCTCCCTGGGCTGGTGCCTTCACCTGGGCAGATGAATTGCCTCCACCTGCAGGGACTGGCTCTGTGGGAACTGCCAAGGCACCTGGCCCAGCCAGGGACACCCCAAAACAGGGCAAATCTCACAGGGATGTCCCCTGGCTGACGCAGCCTCTGGCTCAGCACACAGCCGCATAGCATCTTCCAGCGGGATGGGGAAAAGCACAGCCCGAGGCAAGGCTGTGGCAAGGACACCTCCCCCGAAAGTCAGCGCATAGCACCCACAGTGCACCCCAGCCAGCGGGCACAGCACCCAGAGGTGCTCCAGGCACGGCACCCACAAAGCCTCTGAGCCACCTGGGACCCAGCAACACCCAGGCAGGGCTCCTGGGTGAACTCCCCATGGGGCAGTTTGCAGTTTGCCCTCCAGGCATGACTGAAGGCAGAGGGAAGGCAGTGCCTGCCTAGCCTTGCCAGCACCCCTGCCACCCCAGCGCATCTGGTCCTGTTCCTGAAGTGTTTGCAGCCCCCTGTCTCCTAGCTCACCCCACCTCCGAGGAACTGATGCACAGCAGTGCTGTGTAACCACATGGAGAGCTGAGGACTGGGGATAAAATCCTATTATTGGGTTTTATATAAAACCCTGCCCTGGCCACCCTCGGGCAGGCTGGCAACGCACAGCAATGCTGGGTATGGCTCCTGCACCTCACTGGTGTTGCTTTCCATGAAAGCCCCATCTCCTTGAGTCCTAAGATTGTGCTAGACCTCAGACGTATGACTTCACTGCAAGCATGATGTTAAAACAGAGGGCAAGGAAAAATGCCACCTGCATTAAAATACTTAATGACCCTGACTAAGCCTCAGGATAACAGGCAATTTGGCAGGGTACTGCCGTCGGGTTGGATGCAGTTGTTAGTGTCCTGCTCCACCTCCCGGTTGGCCATGCCAGCCGGCCATGGCAACGTGCACCAAACACAGGCAACTGGCACCGGGCCAGCATGTCTGGCTGCCAGCTCTGCCTCTGCAGCAGGTATTGCTAATGCTGACCCCACACAAGGTTTGCTTGCTGGGGAAAGCTTCAATTCCTGCATGGAGAAAGGGCTCTCCTGGGTATCCCTGCATCCCCTCAGGCATCCCTGCATCCTCCTGGGCACTCAAACACAGCGAAGAGCAACTCACAGCTCCAGCACAAAAGCTTTGCCTTCTCTAGGCTGCCAGAGCCCCGGCAAGCCGGAGTTAACATCCCCGGCTCCTACCAGGGCCAGTGACATATCCCAGCTGGCGGGGGAGGCCAAGCCCCTGGGACATGACCCCGCATGTTTCCCATGCAAGCTTGGCAGTGCTCCCCACAAGGGATGCTCTGAGTGCTAGGCCTAGGTTTGGTTGCAACCCCCCTTGGCAAGCACCAGCCCCTGGGGATGAAGCTGGGCTGTCCCAGGCTCACGCTGCCCTGCCTGATTTTTGAATCCCAGGGCAGCACTTCTGCGCCAGGGAACACCAACTGCCCCGGAGCCAGGGTTACCCCCGTGCCCTTGGATGAGGTTTTGAACCATGAGCCGGGACCTTGGGGTCACGCTGCTCTCGGCACAGGACGGCTGTGATCCATCTGCCTCCTACCTGTAAAACCATTTTAAAATGAGCTGGGCTTTGAGGGTCATGGGGACTTGCAGACAAAGCGGAGCTGGGGTAGGAGGAGAGCATCCCACGCTCACACCTCCAGCCCGTGGCTCCTGGGAGCCCCAGCTACCCCACAACAGCACTGATGTCCTCCATCCACCCTGTTGCCTCAAATCTGAGACATGGGGAAAATGGAAACATGTGGATGTTCCTGATCCTACCAACACCAAACAGCTGTGGCTGGCTTCAAAGCTCAGCAAGGACACACATGCCAGGCAAGCAAGTCCCCAGGGAAAACCGGCTTCCCCCGCAGCGGGACTGCCCCCTACCCCACACCATGGGGATATGATGGAGATACCTCCACCTCCGAGATGGAGGCATCCTCCACCCACAGCTGCACTCGCACTACTCACCACGGCATCACATCTTCCTGCTCACCCCTATCACGGCATCCGCACACAGGAGGATGCTCCAAGGCCGGGCAGTGAATATCCTCTTTATCTGCCAGCAGAGGAAACACTTTTCCCCCCTCTCTCTAACACTTTCTTTTTGCAGTAACCACAATTTTCCAACGTTGCCGTGGCTCTTCTAGGAAGGCTATGGGGGAAATTACAGAAATATGTATTATTTGCTCCAGCCAAGGTAGCACTCAAGCTTGAGGCAGCAGTTAAACACAAGGCACCGTCAGGTCAGAAACACCTGGCATCACAAGCCTCTGCCCACGAGGAGCAACCCAGCCAGCCACCAAAGCCAGTCACCGCGATTTGGTTTCAGGGCTAAGAGGGGTGTTTATTGCCAGGGCACTCGGTTGCTGCCTCCTGCCTGCTCCTACCTGATGGATGGCAACAAGTGGATGGGAGCACTGCCATTGCCTTATCACGGGGGAAAAAAATAAAAAATTACGCAGGCCAGGAGGGATTTCTGGAGGTCACCCAGACTTGGCCCAGAACTGCACACTCACTCGCACATGTCCCTCTCGAAGCTCCTCCAGCCAGGCTTGTTGCTCATTAACAGATCCCTCGTTTCTCATCAATAGTGGGAGGACCCCAGTCCTGGCAAGCAGCCAGCATCCCATGGCACGAATGCCTGGCTGCAGCTCCTGTCCCAGGATTCATGCGAGGACCATGCTGGGAGCCAGGGAGCACTGGAGGCTGCTAAGCACCAACACTCAGCTCTGAGCATTGGCAAGAAGCAGATGGCAGAGTTTCGAAGCCTGCTGATGACCCCATCTCACCACTTTTGTGCCTGCCAAAGGTTAAGAGGGGCAAAGACCCTTGGTGAAGCGCCCCTCAAGCCACTTAGGAAACAGAGGACAAGCAGAGCTGGTGGGATGGGGCTTGCATGCTGCATGCATCAAGGTCATGCCAGCGGCTCTCCTCTATCAAGCCCAAGAGTTTGCAGCAAGTGGGAGGGCAAGCTTATGGCATCAAGGCCAGCGAGCTGTTTGCTCTTCCCCAGGTTTCTGGGGCAGGAAGGGTAAAGCAAAGCTCCAGCCCATTGGGTTTTGCAACTGTTTGGAAAAATCCCTAGATTCAGAGGTGAGATAGTGCCGGAGGCAAGGGAGTGCAGTGGCCTTTGGGGACCAAAAGGACAGACAAAAAAAAAAATCTGCCCTGCCAAAACCTGCCTGTGGAGGTTCAGAAAACCCCCACACCCAGCGTGAGCAGCACCTAAGGGTACTAGAAAAATGCTGGAAAGCAGGAGAAGATAGTATCGGCTTGGAGCAGAACAATGCAGCGGCAGCAAACAAAGCGGGAAGGTATTTTCAAACACAAACATGCTTTCCGGAGAGCATGAAAAAGTCATCAGCAGCAGGTCGCGCTCAGGGAGAGGAAGCACCAAGGGTGTCATGGGGCAGGACAGGCTGTTCAAGGCAGTGATGCCGGCACGAGAAGCCTCCTGTTTGTCATCTCTAGGCTGTTCCCAGCTCAGGGAGCAGCTCTGCTGTATCCAGGGAGGGCAGGACCCAGCTGGTCCCCCATGGCAGCTCATCCCCTGGGTGCCTGCGGTTTGGTCCTCCTCCAGTGATGCGGGGACCCCCAGCCCAGCTCGCTCCCAGCCGTTGCATCCTCCTCCCAGTGCTTTGCAGCTCCAGGCATGCTGCCCAGCAAGACAAGCCTGGCACTGGGCATCCCTAGCTAAATTTTTTTACAGCCGGTTCCTTGGAAAAATCCGACTGTTCATTTACTAATTTTAGGACGGCGAGTAATGGAGCCCTGGCACAAAGGGTACCAAGGGAGGTTTTGGCTGGTTGTGCCATGGTAACAACGTCTGCGAATTTAGATTGAACCAGGTGGTTCGGGAGACCAACATCATGCCACAGGGTGTAAATCCTGCTGCAGGGGGCTCCTGATGAAGACATCGGCTCATGCAAACCCCAGCCAGCATCCCAGCTTGTCAGGCCGGGATGTACTGCAGCCCTTGCTGGCTCAGAAAGCTCTGTGTAATAAAAGCAGCATGGTTTATAACCCTTATAACCTATATAAACCAGGAATCTGGCTTATAAATCCAGAGCAGGGTCCTAGCCACTCGCCTGCGATTTTGCCAAGGGTCATGGGGTGATGCAGGGAAACTACAGAAAAAAACATCCAGAGATTGGCTTAGGCAGAGAACAGAGCCTGAAATCCCAGGATCAACACGCCCCTGCCAGCCACAGGACCTCCTTGCAACGCTCCTGCCCTCGGGAACGCTACGTCCAGCCCCTCCCGTGCCACCACGGCAGCACCCTGGGCTGGTGATCCTGTTACAGCCAGCTCCTGCCTGGGGAGGAGAGCACATGCCTGAAATTTGAGTTTGCTCCACTTGTCATGTCTCGGGTTGTTTGTTCCCAAACAAACTCCGTTTAGTCACCGCCTAAAAATCCCATGACGGCGACGACGTGAGACGCTGCTGCTTTGCTCGAAGAAAAATGAAAAGGGGGATAAAAAGGAGTTTTTTTTGGTGCAGGCAAAGGTCTCACAGTGATCCCCCCTCCCCTGGCAGGCCAGCAAGCTTGGTGCCAGGCACACCGAGCCCATTTCCCCCTCCTGCAGCCCTTGGCTTTC